AGAGGAAGAATGTCTTTTATATCGGTTGTCAATAGAAATAATGCCTCTTAGGGCCTATTCACACCAGAACACAGTGCGCTGCAAAAGGCTCATTTTCTTGCAACAAGGCACATTTTGGCACATTGCATTCAAAGTAGCAGTGACACACCTCAATGCATGCAACTAACAGCTTGGTAGTGTGAATGTGTCCATACTTTGGCTTTATTTGGAAGAATGCCTCTAATATTGTTGATTAGTAGGGTGAAGCAAACACCTCACTGTACATTGGTGATCAGTGGGAGAAAAATATGAGCATAGAGAGCAGGAGTAAGAGAAACACATTCAAATCTGTGATCTCTGAATTTTTCATAATAATTCTCAGTCTCATGTTCCAGCCATGGGAATACTAAGCTAGGCACACTGAGTTGAAGCATGCTTTGGAAAACAGGGCTGCAACCCATGCATCAATAACTACAAACTTCAAGGGCAGAGTCACATTCTTTAAATTTAACTACAGTATAGCTATAAGGCTTTCTATAACTAATGCAATAAAAAAAATGTTTTAACAAGTAGAGAGAGGTCACTAACAGTCCATAAAACAGCTTCATTTCCCGACTGAAGTTATTTAAGAAATGATTCCACTGTCAAACCTGAAAACCTAAAGACACAATATTTTAAAATGAGAGGTTTCTGAAATAACTAAATGCCTTTGAATTTTTGTGTTAGTTTTTTGGGGTTTTTTTGAGGGGGGGGGGCAGGACAGGGAATGTTTGGAAGCTTTGACAGCTTTGTTGTCTTACTGCTAGGAGGATTTTTTTTTTTTTGCTTTCTGTCAATGTAGTATTCCAGAATAGGAAATCTCTCCAACAAGGGCACAGACAGCTATAAAATTGTTTTGAAAACCAATCCCCCGCCACACATAGCTCTCAGACACAATGTTATTATGTGCATGAGAAGTTTAATTAGAATTATATGTCCAACAGAAAAAACAACCAGTGAATTGCAGGCAACATGTATTTGGTCTCACTCCAGTGTCTGGTCTTTACCTGTGTACAGAAGAAGCTGGCAGTATTTGGATCCAGTCACAGATGCGATGCTGTTTTGAAGACCTGGCATATGTACTTTGCTCAAAGCTTGAGCAATGCATCCTCACACTAGCAGATGGACCCCTATGTTTCTGAGCATCTCCTCTAAGCCCTGTTCACACTAAGTGATTTGGAATCATGGTCAGAATTGGCAAGGTTCTGCCCAGGACTCCAAATCATGCTAATTGATCCTTAATGGCACCCCAAAAATGGTACGATTTTGCCGCAATTGTTGTGCAACAAAACGTATGAGAATCACAGCAAAATGTGTGTGTGAAAATGCACCTATGTATTGCCAGAATTTTGGTGTTTGAGCTTCCTTACCATGACAAATGCTCAATCGCACACATTTCTAGGTGTCGTGCATATGGCAGCCCATTTACTTTGCACAACCTGTGGAAACGTGTGCTTATCTCTGAGAATAAAATTGACAGGGCTTGAGATCCCCAGTGTCTCTACTGATAGGATCAGTGTGTTCCCAGTGATTCCCAGTGTCTTTTGCTTTCAGTACTCTGTTCTACTCTGCCCATACTCTTTCACCAAAATCTGCCTGCTCAGGTGAGTCAGAGGACCGCAACCTGGGAGTCAGCAGCAGAATCCACCTCCCTTAGCTAGGTGCTCTGGTAAAGACTAGGCAGCACCTTAGACCCCACACCTTGGTCCATCTAAGGGCCCTCACCCTCACCAAATGTGTGGACAGGCTGAGTCCTATTCCTTCAATGCCCACAGGTATCCTGCTTCTCTGAGACTCCACTGGTGCTCTGTGTCTCTTTTGTGGCCTATGCCACCACTTAGCCTTAGCTGCTATAACAAAGTTCTGGTTAGTCAGTCTGCCCTTGAATGAGAGTGAACTCCTGTCCATGACATTTCTTTTAGAAGAGGGAATTGAGAATAGCTTCCTCCTGCCTGCAGCAGATTGATGAAATCATATGTCTGGCTGATTTTCTGATAAAAGGCAGAACTGTTGTAACATACTGTATAGATGCATTTGAGAAATTCAGCAGACATTATTGATTTACGTTAATGGTCCCTCTGACTGCATATTGACTTTGACAGCATCTAGAGTAATAGAAAAAGACCTATGATAAAATGAAGACATTCACATAAACAGTTGTTGTATTAGCGTACTGAAACGACAGCATACAAAGTGTTACTAAACCCAGGACCCTGCATTCACTATATCTGGTCTCCCACAGTACACAACATGGAAATGCAATTATTTTAGTAAATATAAACTGCTAAATACCTTTTCTCATCTGTGGTTAGAGCAGTCTTGTGACTTCAGCAGAGCACTGGATAAAGCTTGTAGGAGCTCAGTTTTCTTTCTGCTCTAGGAGGATACAAAACCCCTCAACCCTCTCTCTGGACAATGCTGATTGGCCCTGTGCTGATCACATGCAATCTCCCAAGAAAAAAAAAAAAACCTCTTTAGCAATATACACTAAACTGAGCATGTGCAGAAGGGCTACGAGTTCAGTCTGTCTTAGCAGGAGATAAGACTGGCATTTGAACAAGAGGAGGTGCGGAGAAGAAAGGATCAAACAGCCTTTTTATACAATGCAGAGGATTAACCCCTTAGGTTCCACAGTGAGTATAACAAGCATGCTTTACTGCAGATACAGACTGATTATACTGTTGTGGGTTTAGTAACCCTTTAACTTTTACTTGACTTGGCCAGGCTGCTTTAAATTGGGTGGAACCAGACTGGTAGTAAATAGCAGTGTAGGTTTATAAAAGTTCAGAATTCACCTTGCTTTTTTGTTTTGTTTTTCACACTCTATAGTCGAGCATGAAAATTTTATTTCAAGAGGAATTTCAGATAAAATGAAAGTTTACATTTAAATAAAAGCAGAACTTCACTCTCTCAATCAGATTTGATGGGGCTGGATGAAGAGCATCATGGGCAAGGTGCTGAGGATTTTGGTGGGACTTTTTATGAAAATAAAATGAAAAAGCAAACAATTTTTTGTTAACAAAAATTAAATATGAAAACAAATTAAATTAAATAGAGGGGGGGGTGAGGGAGAGACAGGGGAGAGAGAGAGGGGGTGGAAGAAAGAGAGTGGGGGGGTAGAGAGAGAGGGGATAAGAGAATGAGTGAGCTGGTAGAGAGAGATGGAGGAAAGAGAGAGAGGGGATGAGAGAATGAGTGAGGGGTAGAGAGAGAGGGAGGTGAGAGAGAGGGGGTGGCAAAGAGAGAAAATGAGAAGGGGGAAAGAGAGAAAAGGGGAGGAGAGAAAGAGAGGGAGGTGAGAGAGAGGAAGAAAGGGGGTGAGAGAGAGGGTGAATGAGAGAGAGGTGAAGGAGAGAGAGAGAGAGAGAGAGAGAATGAGAGAGAGAGAGAGAGAGAGAAACAGGCAGAGGTACATAATTCCTAGCATGAGAAGGGCTGCAATCACAATCAGTCATACCCTAGTAAACTGAAGACAATTCTCTGATGTCAAGCTCTGTGTTGAGAGAACCAGTCAGTCAGCTGATCACCTGGTGTTCCTGTTTGGAGGAGGGCTCATCTTTCACCTCAGTCAGGAATACACATTGTACTGCTCCTGATTGTTACACCACCGCTGTGCACTGGGAAAGAGTGCACTTACACCTGAACTGCAGGACTTCCGCCTTTCTATCCCACCCCTTTCTCTAGCTCCCAATCATAATGCTCAAACAAGTAAGGTGATTTCACATATCATTAGTTAGAAAAGCTGGGTTTGTTTAGTCTGAAAAAAACAGAAGTTAGAGCTTATCTAATTAATATGCATGTACACTATATTGCACTGTATTGGGACACCCCTCCAAATCATTGGATTCAGGAGTTCCAAACACCTCCATGGCCACAGGTGTATAAAATCAACCACCTAGGCATGCAGACTGCTTCTACAAACATTTGTGAAAGAATGGGTCGCTCTCAGGAACTCAGTGAATTCAAGTGTGGTACTGTGATGGTTACCTCCTGTGCAAGTCCCTCCGTGAAATGTCCTTGCTACTAAATATTCCGCAGTCAACTTTTAGTGGTATTATAACAAAGTGGAAGCAACTGAGAACAACAGCAACTCAGCCACGAAGTGGTAGACCATGTAAAATGACAGAGTGGGGTCAGCGCATGCTGAAGCACACAGTGCGCAGAAGTTACCGAGTGTCTGCAGAGTCAATAGCTAAAGACCTCCAAACTTCAAGTGGCCTTCAGATTAGCACAACAACAGTGTGTAGAGAGCTTCATGGAATGGGTTTTCTTGGCCGAGCAGGTACATCCAAGCCTTACATTACCAAGTGCAATGCAAAGTGTAGGATGCAGTAGTGTAAAGCATGCCGCCATTAGAATCTAGAGCAGTGGAGACATGTTCTCTGAAGTGATAAATCACGCTGCTCTGTCTGGAAATCCGATGGATGTGTCTGGGCTTGGTGGTTGCCAGGAGAACGGTACTTGCCTGACTGCATTGTACCAAGTGTAAAGTTTGATAGAGGTGGGATTATGGTGTGGGGTTGTTTTTCAGGGGTTGGACTTGGCCCCTTAGTTCCAATGGAGGGAACTCCTAAGGCCTCGGCATACCAAGACATTTTGGACAATTTCATGATCTTAACTTTCTGGGAACAGTTTGGGGATGGCCCTTTCCTGTTCCAACATGATGATGCACCAGTGCACAAAGCAAGGTCCATAAAGACATGGATGAGAGGATTTGGGGTGGAGAAACCTGACTGGCCTGCACAGAGTCATGACCTCAACCCAACAGAGCACCTTTAGGATGAATTACAGCAGAGACTGAGAGCCAGGCCTTCTCGTCTGATATCAGTGTCTGACCCCACAAATGAGCTTCTGGAAGAATGGTCAAACATTCCCATAGACACACTCCTAAACTTTGTGAACAGCCTTCCCAGAAGAGTTGAAGCAGTGCGGCAATCTGCGGTGCGCTGTGTCCCTCGGACACAGCGGATCACCAATCAATGGAAAGAGCCGAAGATGTCGGCTCGGTCATGTGATCAGCTGTGTCCAATCACAGCTGATCGCATGTAAATAGGGAAATGCCGGTTATCGGCATTTCTCTCCTCACGAGCTGTCATGCTGATAGCTCGAGAGGAGAACCGGTAATCAGCATCCCCCAGAGGGGACATGTACACTGATCATCAGGGCACTGTTGATCAGTGTGCCCTGATGATCTGTGTAGCCCCAGCAGTGCCACCTGTCAGTGTCCATCAGTGCCAGCTGTCAGTGCTCATCCATGCCACCTGCCAGTGCCCATCAGTGCCACATCAATGCCACATTTCAGTGCCTACCAGTGCACATCAATGCCACATATCAGTGCCCATCTGAGCTGCCTTTCAGTGTCACCCTTCAGTGCCAGCCAGTGCCACCTATCAATGCCATCCAAAGCTGCCAATCAGTGCCAATTATCAGTTCCAGTCAGTGCCGCCTATCAGTGCCAGTCAGTGCCGCCTATCAGTGTGCATCAGTGCCGCCTATCAGTTCCCTTCAGTGATGCCTATCAGTGCCGCATAACAGTGCCAGTCAGTGCCACCTGTCAGTGCCGCCTATCAGTGCCAGTCAGTGTCGCCTATCATTGCCATATATGAGTGCTGGCTTTCAGTGCCCATCAGTGATGCCTGTCAATGCCCATCAGTGCCACCTACCAGTGCCTCCTCATCAGTGCCCATCATTGCCACCTATCAGTGTCCATCAGTGCAGCCTATCAGTGCCCATCACTGCAGCCTCATTAGTGCACATCAGTAAAGGAGAAAAATTGCCTATTTACAAAATTTTATAGCAAAAACTAAGAAAAACGTTTTTTTTTTGAAAATTTTCAGTGGTGTTTTGGTTTGTTTAAGAAAAAATAAAAAACCCAGAGGTGATAAAATATCACCAAAATAAAGCTCTATCTGTCACAAAAAAAATGATAAAAATTTCATATGGGTACAGTGTTGCATGACCGCACAATAAGTGCCACCTATCAGTACTGCCCATCAGTGCCTCCTCATCAGTACTTCCCCTCAGTGCTGCCTTTCAGTGCCCATCAGTGCCTCCTCATTAGTGTCCATCAGTGCACATCAGTGAAGAAGAAAAATTACTTATTTGCAACATTTTCTAACAGAAAGTAAGAACACTTTCTTTTTTTCAAAATTTTCAGTTTTTTTTGTTCAGCAAAAAATAAAAACCACCAATAAAAAGCTTTCTCTGTTTCAGAAAAAAAAAAAGATAAAAACTGGGCAAAGAGTTGCATGACTGCGCGATTATCATTCAAAGTGCAACAGCGCTGAAAGCTGGAAATTGGCCTGGGCAGGAAGGGGGTATAAGTGCCCTGTAGTGGTTAAAGGAGTTATTTGCAGCAAAAATGAAATGTCTTACTATGGAAGATTGGGATGATTTTCTTAAAATCAACAGCACCTAGATGTATAACTACTAAGCATGTCATTTTGTTTTGATCAAGGGACCAATTTAACCACTTGTGGGGTCAGGTAGCATTTTATGTTCTTCCAGGGTGACAAAACTGTCCTTAGTTGACTGGAATGGGGATTGTTTTGCCCTCCTTTGAGAGGCCAGACTTGAGAGAGCTTTATCCTTTGTCACTCTAGGCCTCATGCACATGGGTGTATGAATTTATGCTGCTTTTCTTCTGCCAGAACTTGGCAGAAAAACTGTTTTGAATGTGTATTTGTGTGCATTTATAGGCATATGGCGTTTATAAGCATATACTGTAAGTGTAAACTCATTCTATTGGCTAAAATATTAATTTACACATTTATGTGTGCATGCACGTAAATTGTGTTCTCCAAATTCAGTTTTGGAGCTTTTTTGAAGCTCCTGAATTCTGTGCGTGAAGGTGTTCACGGCACAGAATTTGTGCACAGCGTTTAGGGGCATAAAAGATGCCCCAAAGCAATAGAATGAGTTTACACTTATACACTTTTATACGCCATGTACCTATAAAAGTGCTTAAATACACACATAAACACACACAAATACACAACATTAGAGGCATTTTTCTACCAAGTTATAGCAGAAATAATGCAGAATAATCCACACCGCTATGTGCATGAAGCCATAAAAAAACTAAGATATGCACAAGATTTAACACTAGTAATGATAACGGCACGTGATCCAGAATAGTCAGCATTTTGGTACTGTGCTGCACCCAGGGGCGGACTGACAACTCATGGGGCCCCCGGGCAATAGGGGATCATGGGGCCCCTGCGTCCTTGCCCAAACTCAAAAAAGCCTATGAAAAGGGTACCAGGGGCATCTCATGGGGCCCCCTACAGACCCTGGGCCCTCGGGCAGTGCCCGAGTTTCCAAATGGTCAGTCCGCCCCTTGCTGCACCCATACATGAATGTTTGTATAATTTATTATCACATAATAATTTAACAAAATGCTGCTTTTCAATCTATAGGGTTAATTCAGTTCTCTAGAAAAATTTTAAGAAACACATATTTCCAAATAAAGCCCGTGTTCTGACAGGGTGGCAATAAGAAGAACTTGAGAAGAAACAGTATCAATCTCAACCATATGCCAAACAGAATGAAGATCCATATTGTTAGGGCCAGACAGCTCAGTGATGTGTTAGCATGACTGCAAATGATATTCTGTCACCTCGCTTCTTTGTATAAGAAAGGCAGAAACTACTAACAAACTTTCCACAACTGCAAATTTTACACTTCTGTTATAAGTGCTACTTGGGGTTCTTGGATGATGCAGAATTTAAGTGATACATAAGTACATACTATGACATTGAAATGAATGCATGAGCTCTTATATTGACAGATTTAACAGCTTGTATTGTGCTCCCTTAACTCAACTAACTGTATAAGTTATATATATTGAAGTATCATTTTATTTCTTTTTTTCCTTCAGGTACTCTATGTAGAACATAATGAAAGACATCAGGAAAAAGTAGTGGAAAGTAAGAAGCAGAAAATCTCTCCCCTCTTCTTCTTATCTCCTTTGTGTTAAACAGTGCCATATATAGGGGCGGACTGACCATTTGGAAACTTTGGCACTGCCCAAGGGCCCGGGGTCAGTAGGGGGCCCTGTGAGATGCCCCTGGTACCTTTTTCATAGGCTTTTTTGAGTTTGGGCAAGGACACAGGGGCCCCACGATCCCCTATTGCCCAGGGGCCCCATGAGTTGTCAGTCCACCCCTGGCTATATATATATATCTATATCACTTCTCACTGACCCCTTATGCTTTCCTAAAATGATCAGCATTTGCTGCTCTACTGCTTGAAATATTGCTGGTGTCAACACACCCTCAGCAGTGCTTTGCAATAAACCCTAAATTGACCAGTCCCAATACCAAACGGCCTGTGAATTTTGTAAGAAATGAGGAAGCAGGTACAAAGTCTCCCTTAACCACTTGTCTGGGGGCCAATTCTGAAATTCTTCTCCTACATGTAAAAAAACATAATTTTTATGCTTAAGCAGGGGCCCTAGAGAATAAAATGGTGGGTGTTGCACATTTTCATGTCACACAATATTTGCACAGCGGTTTTTCAAACACAAATTTAAAAAAAAAAAAATACACTTTAATTAATTTTATTACACAAAAACACAATACAATACCCAATTGTTTGGTTAAATATATAAGATGATGTTATGCTGAGTGAATAGATACCATATATGTCATGTTTTAAAATTGCGTATGCCCATGGTATGTCGCCAAACTTTGGTACCTAAAAATCTCCATAGGCCACACTTTAAAAGCTTTTACTGGCTACCAGTTTAGAGTTTCACAGGAGGTTTGGTGCTAGAATTATTGTTCTTGTTCTGACGTTTGCTGCAAAGTAAACGGCTCACTTGTGTGGTGCAGTCACCATTTACATATATGTGAGGGACCGACGCATGCATTCTCATTTGCATGGGGGAACTGGGGGCTATTTTATTTTCTTAAATGTTATTAGTTATTTAGTTTTTATCACTGTTATTGCTATGACAAGGGATGAACAACATCCCTTGTGATAACATGGGACATGACAGGTCCTCCTTTTGGAGAGATCTGGGGTCTATCAGGCCTCACATGTCTCCTCTGGCTTCCAAAGCATTGGGCCAAACTGATCTCGGGTTGATCCAATGCTTTTACAAGCTGGTAATGGCTTGTTTACATGAGACTGAAATTGGAAGTGGTAACATCCTCGTCGCTTTCCGGTTTCTGACATCACTCAATGGGAGGAACAACATCCGTTCCTCTCACTGTGTCTTAGGAACCAGATGCCAAGATGCCATCATATCCTTGCCAGGCTCCCTGATCACTCGGGAGAGTCCTGTAAAGACAGCGGCAGTGGTGGCTGCTAGAGGGGGGTCCCCTTCTGCTATTGCCGCTGCCTGTAAAAGTAATCCAGTAGCTCTTTAGCCAGATCTAAAAATTGATATTGATGACCAAAATATCACCCTTCTCATCCAAGGGCGTACATCCTATGAACGGGAAGTGGGAAGCGTTTCCTGATTCTCTGGATTCTGGTTCTCTTATCTTTTAGGATCTTAGGGCAGCAGAACTGATTTTACAAACTGTATGTCTGCCTATGTTTGCCCGGAGTCTCACTTGAGCTAGTTTTTTTTTCTTGTTAGAGGAGGGAAGAGTTATCATTTCATTCAAGTTTTTTATTTTCATCTGTGACTCCACTGAAGACGTTCCCTTGCTTTTTGTCCCTGTGATGGCTATACAAGAAATTGGGTTTCAGGCATCATCAAAGCACAAAGGCAAGGTGTAAGGAAGGTCCAGTGTGTTCCAGTACCAGAAGACCATAACCATAACCAGATGTATATTAGCATGCATGCATGGATGTATTAGTGTGCATGATAAGCAGCATATGAGAAGGCACACAGGCACGCTCGGCCCTGGTACTGACACCAAACAGCCTATTTAATCCATTTTCCTATGACCTGACTTGCTACCTATCTGCCCATTGTGATTCTGCATTCTGCCTTCTGATTCAGTACCTCTGTGCCCCGCTGTTAACTGACCTTGGCCTGTATCCTTACACTGCCTCTGCTTTATGTTCCTGTACCTTGCTTTTTGGCTGTTGCTGACATTGGCTGTCTCTGCCTTTTGATTCAGTACTCCACCGCCCAGCTGTTGATGACCTTCGTCTTGTGTGCTATCTACTGATTGGGTGCTACCATGTGGCTTGCATCTGGTTCTCACCCAGTAGTCCATGGTCATCTATCCCTCACACTCAATGGCTGGCACTGCCTGTAACATCGGCCCTTGTGCCACTTTGTGTCCTCATATCCCCCGTCATCACTACCAGGGGTTTTAGACAAAAGATGTCCCCTCTTCCGCTCATCCTTTACCAGGTACATGACACAAGTACAGCAATAAAATATTGTCAGAATTCAAATCTATCTCCATGCTTTTTTCAGTAACACTGTTAGAGAGGATTGCCATCACTTGAGGGGAAATCTCCATTGTAGGGTGTATAGACTGCAAACAATAAGCAAAGGCTATAATGTTTCCCAACTCTATCCAAAACAAGACAAACTATTTGGCTGGAACTGTGTTGCTGCTCATTGACT